TATGAACGTGGTTTTGCGCAGCTCGTCAGTGAACAACGGCTCTGTGTAGTTAATGCTGCTCAATGTGAAGGCACGCAGGTGATGGAGATTTACCGCTGATTACAGAACCGGCTTTACTGATAAGATGCGCATTAAATATCGCATGCGATTTATCGCCCTAGTTTAAACACATCGTTCTGTTACATGTTCTTACAACATTTCAGCCGAATATTAATTATAAATGTTAATTAGATGTCTTCAATTCCTGTCTAGCGATGTGTATTTATGTTGAAATGTACTAAAAACGGTTTGTCTTTTCAAATCTTCTATCACGTGTCATTATATTTATCGAGTTGGCTCATGTGGTTTACCCAGTCCACTTTAGCAACAGTCTAGCCACCACCCAGAACACCCTAGCAATGTCCTAACAACCACCAGAACACCCTAGCAACGCCCTAACAAGTGGTTGCTGAGCAACACACAGAAGTAAACAAAGGTGTATGCTTGTAGTGTAATTAACAACAGCTTCGAACGTGGCTCAACCAATCAGAATCAAGGACCAGAACTATCCGTTTTATAATTGGTTTTATTTTACTTTATAAGTATGGAATTGTATTCATAAAAATTCAGCTAACCTAGTATCATGACTGTAAAAATCATCAGTTCCACCACAAATAATAAATTTTAATGTAAATGAAATTTTACTTTTTATTATTTTATTTTATCTTACTTTATAATATCTTATTTTATTTTAATATAAATATTGTTTCATTGTAACAATCTAAATTATGGAAGTGTATTCATAAAAATACAGCAAACACATGAGAGCTATGGCTTGTTGGTTAGCATATTTTATTTTATTATTTTTAATTTCATTTAATTTCATTTGGCAGACACTTTTATCCAAAGCGGCTTACATTGCATTCAAGGTTTTATTACTTTAAATAACCATTTACCCATCCATTCCCCCTAAAGTAGGTTACCATTATCCCGTTCTTCCATCTTCCACACATGCGTATCTAGCTGTCCATCAATCCACTCATCTTCTGTTCTGCTCACTGACGTCCTCTTTCTCTCGTCCTGCAGAAGCGTCAGATCCTGGTCACGCTGGTGGAGATCCTTCTGCCGCTGCTCTTCTCAGCCATCCTGATCGTCCTGCGACAGAACGTGTCCTTCATCAACTACCCCAATGCAACGCACTACCACAGCTTCCCTTTGAGCGACCTGCCGCCCATACTGTGCTTCCAGGACCTGCAGCTGGCCTACGTGCCTGCAAACGCCAGCGTGGTGCGGCAGATCACAGAGGACGTGCAGCAGAGCTTGCACGGTTGCATCAGAGCCGGTGAGAGCTTCAGCTCTTGTGCTCTAAAGTATAGGAGTGTGTTCATGAATACAGCTAACATGTTAGCGGCTAGAGCATCTGGTTTGGCTTGAATCATTGGCTGATGTTGTTATCACCTCTCTCCATATGGTCAGTGAAATGATAAAAAAAAACATGACTACATAGAAAACATGGAAATATAAGCTATAAGCATGGAAATAGCTAGTAATTTTTATTTAATTATTTTTGTTGTATTTTATTTTATTTTTTTATTTTGTTTCATTAATATTGTAAAATATACAGCAAATATACTGTATGTAATTGGCTACATGAAAATTCTGCTAATAGCAGGTAATTTTATTTAAATTGAACTGTCAAACTGTCAAAAACTGACAAAAAAGAAAAAATACAGCAAATATATGCAACAAACTGGCTACATGGAAAATCTGCTAATACAGAAATAGAGAATTTTTTTTTCTTCTATTTATACTGTCAGCAAATGGCAAAAACCAAAAATGTACATAATATTTTTTATTTTATTTAATGTTATATATTTATTATTTTTAATTTTTTATTATTATTGTGTTTTATTTGCACTGTCAAAAAAGACATGCACATATACAGCAAGCTTATGCAGTAAACTGTCTACACCTTCAGGGCTTCCACATTCATGGAAAAACTGGAAATAACATACAAGTTTAAATTTGTGGTTTCCAGGCCTGGGCAACTTTTTGTTATGCTCCTTTGTACAATATTTATTTGTATAGATATTGCTTCTTGTGAGTGCAAATGTTATTAACTTCTTTGTCCAGAAATCTTGAATGAAAGGAAAACTTTAAACTAAAACTAGGGCTGCACAATTAATCGAATTTCTAATCGTGATTACAATTACAGATGCCACAATTACGTAATCGTTCAAAGCGGCAATTAATCGTTTAAAGTCCACTTATGTTATTCTGCGTGCTTAGGATGTGTTTTTTTCTTTCTACAGGTTATCGTAAGAGTTTTTCCAATGTTTTAATTTTAGTTTTAATATAACATTATAATACCATTCATATTTATTATTTCAAGAAGAAACCAAACCAATGTATATTTGACATTTGATGCTTAGTACTATAGAAAAGCAATAAAAGTTTTTCAGTTAGAGTGTTTTCAGCTTGTTTAAATTGTGATAATCGTAATTAATAATCGCAATTATAATTTCAAGGGAATAATCGACAATTATGATTTTTGTCATTATCGTGCAGCCCTAACTAAAACTAGTAAAAACTTAGGAAATTCCCATTATGTTGTTATGCTCAACGTCTATAAATTGCACCTCATGAGTCCAATATCTCTTAAAACATTTTTATTGATATTTATTGCATGTCTATCAGGAAATCATGCATGCCTAGATAAGTCATTAAAGTTCATTGGTCCAAAAGTGTGTGAAGCCTGGCGTTAGTATAACTGCTCTGCTCTACAATATGTGTGAGTTTGCAGTTGAAATGAAAGCATATATTGAGGTTTTGTCATTAAATAGCATCGTGACCCCACCAAAAACCTCATGGCCGCTCTTCTCTGTCTGACCCTTGAATTGTCCTGGTGCTTGTGTTTATGAGTTGTCATGAAGGCCTGCAGGGAAATATGCAGGTGGTGAGTCACGTAATAAACGATTCTCTGGGCTGTGTCCTGATCATGCGACTCAGGCCAGACCCTTTTTGCTTCCTCCTGTCGCTCTGAGCGAGGAGATCCATAATCTGATGCCTCAACTTTGATTGTAAAATGAACAGCTTGATGGTGTTAAAGTGCTGTGTGATATTCGCAAATGACTCGCTGACTGAATATCCTGCTTTAAAAGAGTCTGCTGCAGCGCTGATGAAATGAAAGTCAGCGAATTAGACGCTTTAAGCCCGGACTTGTGGGATAGATGAGACAAACACATAATTTATCTGAAATTACAGAGCTTTAAGTAGCGGTTCATTTCTAGATGGACATGGTGAAAGCAATGGCTTGAGGATAAATGAGTTTATTACATTAGAGGTTCTGATTCAGTGAATCATTTGACTGAGTCAAACTGATCATTTCGACTGATCTGACTAAGTCTTTTGGACTATTTCATTTAAAATAACCAGTTAATTTGTTCGTGAGCAACATTTATCACACTGTGTGTGTGTTATTGTGTGAAAACAATCAAAAACAACACAATAGAAAGGTGTTTTGTCTATTTATTGTCTTTATAATATTTTGCAGCTCAGACTGCAAACTAATAAATAGATCAGATATTTCTAGTATTTTAACACCGAAAGAATGCAGAACTTTCATAATCACTAACCAATGTTATCTTATTATTTTTTTATATTATTGTGTTTATTATTATTTTGAGTTTACTTATTTTTATATTTTATTTGTTACATTTTCATTTTTTTTTTTATATTTTCAGTTTACATTTTAATTTCAAGTAATTTTGTTTCAGTGATTGTTGTCATTTTTATTAGTTCTTTCATGTTTTTTTATTTAGCTTTAATTTATCTGTATTTCATTTTTAGTGATATTATTCCTTGTTTTTTATTATTTTCATTATTATACGTTTTTCATCTAATATTTCAATTGTGTTTTATTTTAGCTTTATTATTAATGGAAATTATTTTAATAGTTTTAGCTTTATCTAAACACTGTCACTAACATGAACAAATTGATATTTTTGGTATTTTTTCGGTAGTTAATAATAACAAACCCGACACTAACAGAACTGACTGATTTTTTTGGTAGTTTTTCGGTGGTTACCAATAACAACACTGTCACCAACAGAACCGATTGATGTTTTTGGTAGGTTTTTTTGTAGTTAACAATAACAATACTATCACCAACAGAACCGATTAATATTTTTGGTAGTTTTTTTTTTGGTAGTTATCAATAACAATATTATCACCAACAGAACCGATTACTATTTTTGGTAGTTTTTTTTTTTTTGGTAGTTAACAATAACAATACTATCACCAACAGAACTGATTGATATTTTTGGTGTTTTTTTTTTTTTTGGTAGTTAACAATAACAATACTATCACCAACAGAACTGATTGATATTTTTGGTGTTTTTTTTTTTTTTGGTAGTTAACAATAACAATACTATCACCAACAGAACTGATTGATATTTTTGGTGTTTTTTTTTTTTTTGGTAGTTAACAATAACAATACTATCACCAACAGAACTGATTGATATTTTTGGTGTTTTTTTTTTTTTTGGTAGTTAACAATAACAATACTATCACCAACAGAACCGATTAATATTTTTGGTAGTTTTTTTATGTAGTTAACAGTAACAGCACTATCACCAACCGAACCGATTAATATTTTTGGTAGTTTTTTTTTTTTTTGGTAGTTAACAATAACAATGCTATCACCAACAGAACCGATTAATATTTTTGGTAGTTTTTTTATGTAGTTAACAGTAACAGCACTATCACCAACCAAACCGATTAATATTTTTGGTAGTTTTTTTTTTTTTTTGGTAGTTAACAATAACAATACTATAACCAACAGAACCGATTAATATTTTTGGTAGGTTTTTTTTGTAGTTAACAATAACAATACTATCACCAACAGAACCGATTCATATTTTTGGTAGTTTTTTTTTTTTTTGTATCTGTGTAGTTTATTTTTTGTAGTTTTTTTTTTTTTTTGGTAGTTAACAATAACAATACTATAACCAACAGAACCGATTAATATTTTTGGTAGGTTTTTTTTGTAGTTAACAATAACAATACTATCACCAACAGAACCGATTCATATTTTTGGTAGTTTTTTTTTTTTGGTAGTTAACAATAACAATACTATCACCAACAGAACTGATTGATATTTTGGTCGGTGTTTTTTTTTTTTTGGTAATTAACAATAACAATACTATCACCAACAGAACTGATTGATATTTTTGGTCGTTTTTTTTTTTTTTTTTTGGTAGTTAACAATAACAATACTATCACCAACAGAACTGATTGATATTTTTGGTCGTTTTTTTTTTTTTTTTTTGGTAGTTAACAATAACAATACTATCACCAACAGAACCGATTAATATGTATTTTTTTTGGTAGTTAACAATACTATCACCAACAGAACCGATTAATATTTTTGGTAGTTTTATTTTTGTTTTGGTAGTTAACTAACAATACTATCACAAACAGAACTGATTAATATATATATATATTTTTTTTTGGATAGTTAACAATAACAATACTATCACCAACAGAACCGATTAATATTTTTGGTAGTTTTTTTTTTTGGTAGTTAACAATAACAATACTATCACCAACAGAACTGATTTATATTTGTGGTCGTTTTTTTTTTAATAGTTAACAATAACGTTAAAGCTGCAGTCCGTAACTTTTGGCGCCCTAGCGGTTAATAAACAGAACTGCGTGCGTCTTGCAGAAGAACAATGTAGCCGGAGCTACTTCTCTCTGTTTATGTCTATGGCTAATCACGCAGGTACTGGGCTACTCCGCAGCGGTACCTACCCGAACCAGTCTAAATAGTCCGAATATAAACACTTATT